CTGAAAATCATCGTGTGCTTGGAGATATTTATTTTGTGGTTTCATATTACAACCTAATGAACACTGGTCAGTTTGGCATTTATATTTCTCTTCCAGAGCTGGGAAGAATACATTTTTCACAAACACACATTTTTAAGCTAAATCTGACAGAAGACTGTATTAAAAAAAAAAATCTCCCAATATTTCAAGTTTGTTTGGTTTAAATCAGGAATAGTAATTATATATTTACACATCAAAATGAAACACATTTTTTAAAGCATCTTCTTTACTATTCTCTGCTTATCTCAAGATGTAGTCTAGGAGCTATGTAACTGATTGAAGAGCAGGCAAAATTTCATAGAGCTTTTGAATCTCCTTTCTTTGGAGCAAGAGAACTATGTGGTGACAGAAGTAAGCTGCTGACAAGTTTTTTTTCTTTCCATCTTCTCCTAGGTTTCCCTTGTCCACCTTCTAAAGACAGTGCGGTTGCTCCGCCTCTTGCGTCTCCTTCAGAAGCTGGATCGTTACTCCCAGCACAGCACAATCGTTCTCACGCTTCTCATGTCCATGTTTGCCTTGCTTGCTCACTGGATGGCCTGTATTTGGTATGTCATAGGGAAAAGGGAGATGGAACAGAATAACCCCCTTACCTGGGACATTGGTAAGTTCTTCCATCCTACATACACATATACACGTGTATATATCTATCTATGTATGTAAATATATAAAAGCACATGTATAAGTCACTCAGGACTTTGGAGTTTGTTCAATCTTATACAATTTTTTAGTACTGTCTGTAGGAAAAAAAAGGAAGAGATTGGCACTCTAAATCTCAGGTCAATTTCAAAATGAGGGTTAAAATAAAAAGAAAGTGGCAAAAATAAATAACAATGAGATTTTTAAGAGTGACTCAAAGTTTTGAAAATTGAGGGTCTGGATAGGAAAGGGCTAGACAGAATGTGCAAAAGAAAAGTTCATGGGCTTTTGTGAGTTAGGAAAATTCGTCAACAGAGGCATTTCTTCGAGTGTGGTGATTATTCCTTCCTATATATTAAATCAGATAGGCCCTGAAATTCCTTCCAGTAGTTCCCTTTGGAACTATTGTTTAGCAGCTTTGCAGGTTATGCTCTTTCGGACAGCAGTAGAGGCATTTATCAATGGAGAGATGGTTTGGGGATGCTCAGTTTTGGTCCAATGTTTTCTACACCAACCTTCATTCTGATTTAATTGAGTGTTCCATATTGGTTCCTTAGATTTTAAGCTTTTCATTTTTTGTTAAAAGTTTATTATTATTTCTAGGAGTTGTACCCCCATGTGATGGTACAATAGAGAAACAATATACCTTGTATGTGTACCTTGTCAGGAACCTGACACCACCATGTACTCATACACTATTGAAGGTGTGTTACCCACTAGTACAAGAGCTGAGACTCGACATCTTCCCACATGGGTCATTCTGACTTTACTGAAAAGGCATATTTCTTTTGCTTTCCTTCTCAGATGCCACATCGATATCAGGAACCCCCTTTTCTCCCCTTTCTTCCTGATTCCTTGTGTTCTATCTTTTTAATTCTACTTGTATTTACCTTTAGCCTAATCTATTCACTGAAGCAGGAGACTAAATCAGGTCAGCAATAAAATTAACTGAAGAAGGGAAGCCTGGCTAGTTTCTTTATGCTATATGTAAGACATGATTGAAAAGCATACACATAAATTCTAATATGTAAGTTATCTGTGAGAGAAAAGGAATGCATGTGTATCTTTCATAAGCAGATTGTCTAATGGTCAGGCAGAGTTTCCCAACAGAAAAAATATATGGAGGGAGAATAATGCAAACACCTGTAGCCAAAGGCCAAATTCAAATTGCAATTGTCCTATACTTAGCTCCTTTGATTTCTTTTCTTTTAATCCTATTAGCATCTGTCTAAATCATCTAATAATAATAAATCTGAAGGAAAAACTACAAACATGTTAAAGGTGCTTGACCTCAGAGAGGTGAGGATGCTGGGTCAGGAAGAGGAAAAGAAGAAATAAAGCCCAAGAAATATATGTCTTTATTTTTTTGATAGGGTACTTAAAGTTTTGTGGAGTTTCTTATTCTTCTCGTTAGTTGTTTATTTTTCTTTCCCTTTGTAAACCAGGTCTGTGACCTGCTGCTGAAATCCTCATGGACTGCAAACCTCTCAAAGAAAAGACTGCAGCTGCAGGGGAGAACATACAAAAAAAGCCCACTGTGCAGAAATTGGTCAAATACTGCTAACATAGAAACAAATCCAGATAATAATAATAATAATAATAGTAGTAATAATAATAATAATAAATAATTCTCTCTAGTGGGAAGTAGCTGTGAAGACACATTGTCAGCTTATATAGGCCACAAAAAAGAGCTGGTTTCAAAGCATTCATTGCAGTCCAAATGATGATGATGGGCTGTATCTTGCTCCCCAGGTAGGGCTGCTGGCTGTGCTCCCTATGCTCCCTTTTCTCCAAGCCAAGGCCACAGTCAGGAAACTCTCTTCATATACCCTGGGACTCTTGCCATTTATTGCTATGAAAACATTAGCTTTCACCAATTTTTCACCAATTTTGTCCTTTCTTGGGCAAGGGCAATAATAAGAAAATGTCCCAACAACCTCATCAGAAGCAATCCCAGTTTAACTGGAACAGAGACATTTCCCAGAAGTCCCATTTGTGTCTCAGAGAAGAGTTTTGTATCTGGGTTATCACACACTGATCATCTCCTAGTGGGCTTCCCAGACAGAAACTGCTCCTTAAGAGCCCCTCACCATTAGCTTATCCTGGTGAGACTCAGTGACATTCCCTGGACAGCTGCAGGCAGGGCACCTCCACGTTGGATGGGCCAAGGTACTTCTTTCTGGTGTGTACTCTCCGACTTTAGCCTCCTACCTGGAAAAAGGGCTTCACCATTGGTCTTACAGCATGATATTGTTTTGGTTTTTTTTCCAATACTGTGGGTTTATGTTTTTTCCTGGAAAGCTATTCTGCTTGTAGATAGTTTCTAAAATATTTAGATGCTATAAATGTATAATAAGAATTACACTGTAATGACTCATGCAGAGCTCTTACAGATATTAATTCTGTATCTGTCAGAATGGGTATTTCTAAAGTTAAACAATTTATGGCTTTGGGGATTTGTTTGGAGTTTTTTGTTTGCTTGGGGTGGTTTTTGTTTTGTTTTTTTTTTTTTTAATGAAACAGTTATAAAATGTTAAAATATTAGAAACTGGTTTAAAGAGCTCAAAAAACTCCAGATAAAACTCAAAAAACTGGCATGAGGCTGCTGTTTTGCAAAGACCACTTCAGAACTGATGAAATTTCTGTGTAAGCTTATGTGTCACATATATGAGCAGAAAAATTATGTGATTTTTTTCAATTAGTGCAATTTTTATTGCTCTGCACATGCAAACTACTTGCTGGTGAAACACAATGAAATTAAGTCGTGGGCCTCTGTGTGCTATATCTTTTACTACTCTGGTGATACACAGCTGATTATACGTTGCTAGATTTTCCTTTCACTTTAAGAAAACTTCCAATGACGAGTTCATTACACCTCACAGCATCTACATAGGTAATATGTTGAGAGGAGAATGGTAAGTATGATTTAGAGTATGAGTGATTAAGGAAAGTAAAATGAGATCTAGAGGTAATAATAAATCACAAGCAAATAATGTACACAGGTAATGTTACTGTAAGACACTGAGTAAATTCAATTCTTCTGAAGGAAAACCTCAATTGAAAATTTTTGGAGAGCATGTAAAAGAGACTTTTTACTGCAGGCAAAGCAGTGAAATAGATCCTAAGTCTTATATTTATAGATTTTAATTTTTTAACTTTTAATTTTGATACATTACTACCAAAACTCGAGACTCAAGTTTCAATCAGTACATCTTATACAAAGTTTATTCCAGCCATTAAGAGGCTTTCTAATTGACAGCATTAAAATTACAATGCAAAAGTTATAAATCCTATACTATTTTTCGTTTAAAGAAATGTGCCCCCTCTTTGGAATCTCTACTTTTGATTCATCACTGGAGTGTCTCAGATGATGTGCTCCTGAAGAACTGGTGCACTGAGTATGGATGGTGCAGTGTATACAATAGCTGAAATATAGGAATGGGGTTGTTCTAAGAAAGGAAAATGATGCCTGGAATGAAAAGAAGATTAATTTGCTTTTTATGCTTGCTGCTATTTTTTGGGGGGTGGAAGGGGGTGCAGGCTGGGGGAAGAGGCAGATGGAGAAAAAGCTTTTAGCAACCTCTTTACTCAGTTTAGTGCTTCCTGAGAAACACTGCAGCACAGATTTCAAGACTGAGGTTTGCTGACACTTAAAGCAAGTATTTTAAAGCTGCAGTACTGTTAACATAATACTTTGAACCTTGCTGTGCCATCAGATATGCACCATAGCCCCATATGCACATTGACTTTAGTGGGAGCAGCATTTGCTTCTGTGTATCTATTTCTCTGGCTAATTTAAACAAATTAGGTGCTTAATTTGCATTTGGATTGGGGCAATGGGAGTGCTAAAGTTCTTCCTATGAAAATACCCAGGACTGAAAACAGTATTTGCTTTGTTCTTGCTGGACGTAATCGTAAGGGTTTATTTCACTTTTTGTCTTTCTTCAGGCAACATTCCCACTGCAAATAATATAAAAACAGGGCTACAGTCACTAATTTAGCCATTTGATTGCAAAATGAGAAAGATGTAGTGTCTGGGTATATATTGTTCATGAACTGTCATGATGTGGTGGCATTGGGTCTTACAGCAGTGTAGCATAATGTTAAAATCTGGATCTGTTGCATAGCTCTAGTGTCGCCACATTTAACTGAATTCTTTGGAAGGTATGCAGTATGGGCATTGTTTTCAGAGCTAGAAGCCTTTACCTCAGCAAGTTCTCCCATCTCAGGAAACAGTTGTTCCATGTGCAGCAGCTTGACTCTAATGTCTGATAAAAGACAAAAATCCTGGATGGGTCATTCCCACCCATGTGAGACAATGGTACAGTCCTTGTCTTGCTTTTTGCCTTCTAGTATTTTCAGGTCTCTCTGTGTAACATGCCACCTTGTTCTGCTCATTTGTTCTCATTGGTGAAACAGATGTCTCCCTGAGACATGGAATGATTTTCAGCAACCTGTAAAAATAAGATTAATTTTCTATTACCTGACATGGAGTAGAGGCTAGACTATGTAGAGGTTCCCAGCTGATCCTAGCACTCTAATTCCATTGGTTATCATTTCTGTAGGTTAACTGGCATTAGATTTAGGCATAGGTTCTTTATTTGCTGACTACTCTTTTGTATTAGTATATACTGAGCTATTCCCTTCAGGTTTTTGTCAAATATAAGAAAATGACTTTTCAATCTGTGTCTGCAGGGAACAGATAATATTGAAAATTTCCTATTGAAGAAGGCATTCATTCTGTAAGAACCATGTGAGCTGTTGAAAATCAGATGTCTTGAGTGTAATGAGGAGATTAGGAGAGGGCCAAGAGTCAGGATACTGGCTCCCTTACGTAGTCAAAGCTGTCAGGTAAAATTTGTGTCATTGTCTCAAAACCAAAAAATTCTTCCTGTCCATCAGATATTTAACTGCAACTTCTTGTTAATCCAGCTACAGTAACACAAGATTGTCACTATGGAGGTGTTGGTATCAATGCAAAATACATTAAAAATAATAACCTGTGCTTTTATAGAAAACAAAGTATATGTGTTTACTTTGGGAGAAGCTTTAAAATTGGATCTGTAAAGGGTATTGTTCTTCTGCTTTTTAAATCTTTATTTCAATGTAATACTTCTACTCTTATCTCAGGGGTTTACTCATTTTTCTCATTTACTCAGTTTTATACTTTGCAGCACTTTTGAAAACAAGAATTCAATTGTGACTGAACCACGGTAGTTTCACATGCTCTGCAATACAAAACTTCCCTCACAAAATTTGTTCATCACACACTGGTAGTGTGAACCTTTAAAAGGACTTGGATGCTGACTTCGAGTGAATACACTCAATTAGCTCTCAGTGGCAGAGTTAGGTACAGAATAAGGTACACAGCACCTGAGTGGTGCCAGTAGGGACTGTTGAAAATAGGCCCTTTTTCTTAGGTTTTATATGCCTCATGTTGGGCTGAAGTGAACAGCCCAAGTTCACAACTGCCTTCCCCCCTGAGTCCTAGAGGGAATTTAGATGAAGGGACAAGGTGGCTGAAGGATCTCCACTGGGTGAAGATAGGAGAGAATCTCCAAGTGTCTTACTCATGTAAAGATAGTGGCACTTCTGGTCTGATGCAGAAATTGGCTGAAATGGATTGTCCAAAATGTAGATGTCTTATGTCTCAGATGCAAACTTTAGGTTACATTCTTGTGCTTGCATTCCTAAATTCTGCCCAAGTCCTTTGTGGTCCCCAGGTAGCTTCAGTCTTGTCAGAAGACTCAAGTCAGCATCATTGGAATATCCATTAAGAGAGACATCGTCTAGAGAATTAAATTCTCTAGAGTTTCAATAGCTTGGGAAGTTTCAGTGCTAGGAACTTTTTTCCAAGTTTATTCTAAGAAACCCAAGACAGCTGTTGGTTTTCATAATGTTCTTAGCAATTTTGTCAGGAATTCTGAAGGTAAAGATTTAAGCCTAATCTTGACAATAGATACTTATGACATTGGTGTATTTATTCAGGATAAAACTCTTACTATCCTCTTTTCAGAAGAAAGACTATTTTTAGGTACATGTATCTGGTAGTTCTTCCTCAAATAATGTATGTTAGTGGTTTAACTAAGTTGCTGGTGCTCTTGGATCCAGCATAACCATGGGGTAAATAGTACTAGAAATCATATTGAAAAAATCAGTGTCATTACGTCCATTCTTGATCAATACAATACATAATTTGTTAAAGCAATAATTACTTAACTTTTGACTCTTAGTATTTTCATATTGTATTGCACCTTATAACGTACTCTAGAAGCAGGTATATATTAATGATGTTTTTGCAAAGGAGTGCAATGATTTAAATGGCTAGACATGACAAAATGAGTTGCTATCAAACCTGAGAGGTTTAGTTTTTCCTTTTATTTTTTTGTATATGAATTGTGTTAATGATCTCAGATCATTCTAGCTTTATCTCCTCTGCTAAAGAATTAAAAAAATTGGGTTTGAAAGTGATGTGAGAAATTTTTACTAAATTAAGCATTTAAAAACCAAAACAAAGAGAAGTATGAAAAATAATGAGATTCTTAAAATACCTGATTGCCAGTCTGCTTTTGAACCCTCTGAGGCTCATATCTTCAACACATTCTTGGCAACATTGGCAGCCAGGAACTTAGTTTTAAAAAATATGAAAACTGAGATTTTGTGTGCTCTTGGATTTCCAGGGACTGGGGCTGTCAGGAAAATCAGCTAACAGAAGACAAAGGGTAAAACTATAGCACTAAAGAATGATCAGTTTTTGGACACAGGTGATGTGTTTGGTGCATGCAGGTACATGCACCTACTTCTCTATTAACAGACCTACCTTCTGGTCCGGTTGAGCCTGGATCTACATCAGAACAGCTTCTAGTAATTTCAACAAAATATTCAGCTTATGAAGAGCTAGGACTAACAAACTAGAACTGGAGCCTTGGGAAAGGCTGCAGCTGGCACCTTCTCTCATGCAGTCTGGCAGATGGCAAGGTTCGGCACAGGTGCCCTGCACTCCCTGGTCTTCTATGGTAGGAACAGCAGTTGAGGGTTTTTTGTTGCACTGTAAGAACTGAATGAATCCTCCTTACTGACAGAAAGAGTACTTGTAAATTTCCAAGGGTCTTGGCCAAGAAAACTGTGTTCTACTATAAAATATTGGTGTAGTTTCACTGCTCTAAACGCACACATCCGTCAGGTTAGAACTGACATGCGTAAATTTATGAATCCTGGCACAGACCAGGAAAGAACGTCATGCTGACTACATCGTGCAGGACATCATTCACCAGCAATGATCAATTGCTCATTTCAGTCTGTCATCTCTGTACCTGAATGTTTGATTTTAATTTCTCTTCCAATCTGCTTCATTACGTTTTTGATTATCGGTTTTCTTCATTTTTTGTCATTAGTAATAACAGAACATGCTCCTATGTTTTTTTAAGGGTTTCTTTCTGGTTTTTAAGAGGTATCTTTAAGAAAAAGGATTTTAAAAAATATAGTTTTTTCATGCGTGAGTGCTGGCATCTTCAGTTTACTAGAATAAATTTTATATATCTATATACATCTGTAGATGTAGATATATATAGATATATACAAAATAAATAAAGCTCTGTTGACCTGGGGTACCTGTATTGAAGGTCCACTGTTGTGTGGAATAGAAATACCTGTATACTCACCTGTTCATTTTGTTTGTGGGAAGCAGGGCTGAAAATTCACTTCTAATTAATACAAGAAGGAAACTGTTGATGGCTACCACTCTTGTGAAGTACTTTGGGGTATCAGTATCTGAAAGCCTTAGACAACTAATTTGGGTTATTTTGTGCAGTACTATATGAAATAATTAGCCCCTGGAGTGTCATAGAGAAATAATGAATAGGAATAAACTGGGAAACCAAAACAAGGAAATTACTTTGAAGCTATGAAACTTTTCAAAGCACTCATCTTACAAATGATTTACAAACAGTGCTTACTACATCGCACAAACTTTGAACAAGACAAGGATGCACCAAAGTTCGGAAGCATTATATAGTGATGAACCACTTTAAGGCAATGGAAGCAGAAATTTTTAATCCCCAAATATCTATCATTGGAATGCCTTTAAATATTTTTAATGTCTTTTTTTAATCCGTATGAATTTTACTCCTCTGTGAAAGTTAATACTTTTACTGTATACACAATGTGTAAATTTTCCATGAATTAATGTTTGAAATGCACAATTTCTAGCCTTGTTAGAACAAAAGTAGATAAAATCATGAAGAAATTAGAGTGAATAAATGTACAACCAAATGTACAACCAAAAAATATTTATT